ATGATGCTTAAAATATATAATCCCCCCAAAGATGTTTAGAGCAATTTAGACTACCATTGACTTAATTAAGAGAGTTTGGAGATTAGCAATGAAATGATGGGTCATTTTTTTTTCTCATTTTTAGAAGGAATTTTGTGACTCTTGAAGCTCTAAAATGAGAATTGGGGAGGGGGAGGGCAAAGAGGATTGGAAAGAGGATCAAGTCAAGGGTAAGAGGTCACCCTCTCCCAGGGGATCATGGGGGCCTTGGGGGACTGGGTCCCACCTCAGGATTGTGGACCCCTGAGTCCTACATAGACACACCAGTATAGGGAATTCCCAAATCAGCTAGCTTCGAAGGGTAGCCTTGCTACCCTTGGCCAAGTCTGTTGGTTGGTCTGGAAACTGCAGTCCAATCAGTAACACCTGCACCTTGTTGCCTGCATGACCTTGAGGACTGGTATGGAGGTCATTGCCATTCATGTTCAAGGTGTCAGAGCCAGTCTATCATCTGTCTCCCCCCACCCCTCTCTCTCTGGGGCTGGTCCTCGGGCTCGAACTCAGGGCCTAGGCACTGTCCTTGGGTTTTGTTGCTCAAGGCTGGTGCTCTACCACTTCAGCCATAGCTCCACATCCAGCTTTTTTGTTGTTGTTTTGTTTTGTTTTTGTTTTTGTGCTTAACTGGAGAGAAGAATTTCATAGACTTTCCTGACTGAGCTGGCTTCCGATCTATGATCCTCAGATCTCAGCCTCCTGAGTAGCCAGGGTGACACGCACTTGTTCACGCTGTCTCTGTAATGGAGCATGTGCTGTAGACACAATTGTGGGTCAGGTCGCAGGTGTCTGAGTTCCAGGGCTGTCTGTGGGCAGGTCCTGGAATGTCCCCAGCTGTCCCAAGGCTACCCTCCCAGGGTCCCTGCTTCTCAAATAGAAAAGCTTCATCTCTGAAAGGGACAAAGACAAGAACAAGACTGGCCTGACTGTGGGGAGCCTCTCTGCAGGTCAGGCAAGCTACCTCTTTTGGTGGCAGTAGCCTCCGTCCCTCCCATTGCCTTCCAGGCAGAGAGAGGCAAATGCCTAAATTCACCACACGGTGAGATAAGTGGACATTTGCCTGTGAATTAAGTGCCTCTCATTGACAGGTTGTAGAAATGCACCCACCAAGGCGTTAATGCCTACTAGTTCCGGGGTTGGAGAGGGGAAATGAGAAGGGGGAGCTGGGCTGAAATCTGTAATCCTTCTTTACATAAATCTGCAGCTGAAAGCTGAGAACATTCTGCTGCCCCCTAGGAAAGCGGGTTCAGAGTCTCCTCCCCACCAAGCCTCTCCTCCAGCCAGCAGCATGGAGGGGGGGTGTCTCCTGTGGCCCGAACACCCACAATCCAGACATCCTCTACCTCCCTAAAATGCAGCTCCAAATCCAGGAGATATAAGAATCCTGAGCCCCCGACTCCACCCAGGGAAACTGGTGGGACACGGTTTGGATAGCTGGATGGGGACAAATAAGACCCTCTCTCAGTCCTGGGCTGCTTCAACTGGGAGAAAGATTAAAAGTCATCCCTGACCCTCATGTCCTTGGGAGGTAGAAGGGCTTAAACCCAGATGACTATTCACCCACGCCACCCCCCACCTGTGAGGGCTGAAGTCAAGGTCAAGGTGAATTTTCTCTGCCATTCTGTGTCTCTGTCCTGATTTTTTTTGTTGTTGTTGTCAGTTGTGGGGCTTGAACTCTGGCCTTGGGCCTGTCCCTGTGCTCTTCAACTCAAGGCGCTCTACCACTTAAGCCAGAGTGCCACTTCCCTGATATTTTTTTTGTGTAGGTTTGATTTGTTATACCAGTCCTAGGGTTTGAACTCAGGGCCTGGGCACTGTCCTTGAGCTTCTTTTGTTCAAAACTAGCACTCTACTACTTGAGCCACAGCTCCACTTCCAGCTTTTTGGTGGGTCATTGGAGATAAGAGTCTCCTAGACTTTTCTGCCCAGGTTGGCTTTGAATTGAGGTTCCTCAAATCTCAGCTTCCTGGGTATCTGGGATTATAGATGGGAACTACCAGTGCCTAACCCAGGGGGGAGTCTTGATTCACATGACACATGAATGTGCCCAAGAAAATTCTGTCCACAGTGGCTTCCCCTTGTGGTGAACCCTGTTCCCCATAGTACAAGAAACTGGGGACCCCCTTAGCTCAGCTCTGACATCTGAACCCTCAGAGATAACCATGGAGGCAGACAATTACACACACACACACTAAGCTTCCTGCAAGCTTCCTGCAGCTTCTTCCAGGATGGCAGCCAGGTGATTTGTGGGGACCTAGGTTGAAGAGAGAGTCAGCCTTGAATACACAGGCCTCTACTCAACCAGTTGCTGCCCCCAAACTAACAAGGGTTACTGTGGCCCTTGCCAAGCTGCAGCCTCTATATTGGTCAGCTAAGACTATGCCCAAGACCCTGTAATCACCACACTGCCACAGTGACCAAGACAGCTTGTCCTGACCAGTCCACTGAATCTCCCTGAAGACCAAATGAGATGTGGCCAAGATATTTGTAAAAACAGCTTTAATAGCTGGAATTTGCCAAAATTCATCTTTAGACTCAAAACCACTAAAGAAGGCTGGATTTTAGTCACAGAAAACAGAGAGGAAAAAAAGAACCTGAGAAAAACAGGGAATCTTCCTCCCCCCCCTCACAAGTTTCTTTCTTTTTTTGTACCAGCTCTGAGGCTTGAAGTCAGGGCCTGGGTGCTGTCTTTGATACTCAAGGCTAGCATCCTACCACTTGAGCCACAGCCCCATTTCCAGCTTTTTGGTTCTTAATTGGAGATAAGAATCTCACAAACTTTCCTAGCCCAGACTGGCTTCCAACTGTGATCTTCAGATCTCAGTCCCCTGTATAGCTGAGATTACAGGTGTGAGCCACACACAAGATTTACAGACTAGTTCGCCTGGATTGTTCTCCTGGGGCTTCCTGGGTCTCCCCAAGGCCGTGACTTGTGGAAGACAGCATACAGTCAAGTGGAAGGTAGAGGAAGGGCCTTTCTTAGCCAATCTGGGGATTATGGTGACCCTCATTCCCTCTTGACCTTGGGGATCAAGGTCAAGAGGTCTGCTCCATTGTGTACTAAATGAATGAGTGTGGGGAGGAGGGGTGTGAGGGGAGAGCGCCAGGCCCCGCCCTCCCAGGCACAGCTGTCCTTACCCTTGGACTTCTGCCTTAGCTGGGAGCAGAGGTTGGGGGAGATAGTTGGTACTTTCTACTGTCCACAACATCCACACCCCACGAAGAGGCAGTAGAAGTTTGTCACATCAATAATTCCCCTGCCTCCCCCTCTCAGAAAGACCCCCCCCACCCCATTCTGTCCAGTGAGGAAGCTGATGGGGGTGGAGAATAAAGGAGTCTCAGAGAGACCCAAACTCCTAGCTACTCAGGAGGCTGAGATCCGAGGATCACCATTGAAAACCACACAGGCAATTTTTATTTATTTATCTATTTATTTATTTATTTTTAACCTGTCCCAGGCCTCTGAACTATGGGCCCTAGAGCACTGTCCCTAAGCTTCTTTGTGCTCAGGACCACTTGCACCACAGCTCCACTTCCAGTTTTCGGTGGTTAATTGGGAGATAAGAGTCTCACAGACTTTCCTGCCCAGGCAGACTTCAAATCTCGATCCTCAGATCTCAGACTTCTGAGTATCTAGGGTTAAAGGTGCGAGCCACTGGCTCCTGGCTCAGGCAAACAAATTTGACAAACTCTTATCTCTGACCAACCAGCAAAAAGCTGGAAGAGGAGGTTTGGCTAAAAGGGTAGAGTGCCAGCCTTGAGTTAAAAAAAAAAAAAAGATAAAGATAAAGCTATGGGAGACCTTGAGGGTATGAATTCAAGCCCCAATACTGGCTCAGAGAGGATGCTGGGTGGGGGAACCAAAGGAAGAAAATGGAACCTATACCAGGGTCTGTGTGTACTGGAAAGGCTAGGTCCCCAGGGATGGCCTGCTGTATACCACCCAGCCTCCAGGTAGCCCTGGTCCTCCCAGGCCCCATCTGCAGGCTGCAGAACTCAACCCTGTACATGGGGAAACTGAGGCTAAGGTTGGGGAGAGATCTGCAGGGAAAAGTCTGGGCCCCTGAGCGCAGGTGGGTTGGGTGGTCAATTGTGGGAGGCAGGAAGCAGCTGGGGATGGGCTGGGAGGGGAGGGTCCCCCACCCCATGCTGCTGCGGTTGGAGGAGGACGGCTTTGAAACAAATCCTGCCACGATATCAACAACTTCATGAGGGCAGTGTTGTAGTTACACTTTTTTAATTAAGTGAATAATTAAAAAGAAGTTGATTATCAATTAGCTAATTAAATAATGCATCTTACTTTCATAGTCCCACTTTTCCCCTGAATTTTTTTTCTTGCTGATTTTTTTTCTCTCCTTTTTTTCTCTTCTCCTTTTTTTTTTCATTTTTGGTTAATCACTGTGGCCGCGGTAATGAGCCGCCTCAGGTTGCCAGGCAACCAGCTCCCAGTTACACAGCCGCAGCTGCCTCCCGTCAGTGCCCTGACGGCTGCGCACGGGGCTCGGCGCCCGGGCCGCCGACCACGGAGGGTCCCAGCTGGGGGAGGGGAAGGGCGTGGCCATGCACTCGGGGGCGTGGCCTTGTGGGCGTGGGCCTGTGTGGGGTCGGGAGGGTCGGGGCCAGGCAATGGTGGGTGTGGTCATGTGGGGCGTGGCCGCGCCATCCAGGGCGTGGTCGCGTTGGGGGCGTGGTCGGAGAAGGGCGGTCCAGGTATGGGCGGGGCGGGGCCCTAGCAAAGAGCCGGACGGGGTCCCAGGCAGGCTGAGGGGCAGTTTGAGCAAAGGGAGTGGTCTTTCTGGGGTCTCTGGACAGATGGAAGAGTGAGGGTCTCAGGCAGGCGTAGGGCAGGACGAGCTCCAGGGGCAGATCGGGCGCTCTCGGTCCTTTTCTGCCCCGCTGCGCCCCACCCACGGCACCCTGGGAACTCTGAGTCTGGGTCTTACTGGAGTGTCACGGGGCTGCCGGCCTCAGTTTCCTCGGCGCAGGGAAACTGTGGTCCCGCAGGCGGTGGTGATTCCCCGCTGGAAGCACACACCGGGGTCGGGGTCCAGATCCGCAGCGATCTCCACGCCGCGGCGGGGACGATGGGGGGTCGCGACGTCAGCTGGACCCCGAGCCAGCAGGCAGGCGGGCCGGGCCGGAGACTCGCGAGGGCGGCCCGCAGGCAGCTGTCCGCGGGGCACAGCGAAGGGCTGGAGGGACGCGTTCTCCGTGGGGCTCGCGGCCCGCGCCCGGGGGACACTGATTGCTCCACGCCCGAGTGGCACCGATGCCTTGGCGCCCTCCGCCGCCCCCAACGCCCAGTCGTTATTGCTCATGGGGGGCACGGACCGCAGCTCGGTGCCGGTGCCCAACGACACCTCCTGGGCCCCACTCGCACCTCCTCGAGGGGCTCGCCCGGCGCCTGACCCTCTCCTGGGGTCGCTGCCCTGCGCGGCCTCCGCACGATCCGGTCTCCTGGTCTCCTCTTCTCCTCGCGGGTCTCGCGGTGCGCTCCACCCCACCCGGACTGGAGTGGTTGTTGTGTGTGTTTTTCTCTAATTCTCCGGAGTTACTCTTTTGTTGCCAATTGTTTCTATGCCCTGAGGCCACGCTGTAAATGAGATGTTACATCTGCACCGAGCTAAGTAAACACTTTATAAATGAATAAATAAGCAAATAAATAACGAAATAGTCGTCTGGGGGCCCCTCCCCGGGCTGCCACAGCTCCAGACTGCGGGTCAGCGCTCCCTCGGCCAGGCTGTGGGGGTGGGTGGGCTAGGAGGGTGGGGTGGGGACCCTGGCATACCCATCCCTCCTTTTCCACAGAAGCAAACCGACCCAGTGGCTTTGGACCAAGCATTCCACCTCGGTCCCCCTTCTATCCCCTCCCCAATTTTTCTCTATGTCATCAATATAACACCCCCCCCAAAATGGCCTTTTGGACCCAGAGCTTTGAAACAAAACCAGATCCATTCGCTCTTAAATCTGGATGTTCTTCTGATCTTCTGATTCCTCTAGGGCTTGACCTGTTGGGTCAGGGGGGTTGTCTACAGGGGACAGTCCCCGGCACTGTGAAGCAAAGGAGAGGCCTGTCCTCCCTCAGCCTGCCCGGGCTGAATGGGAGAAACCCCATAAACTATCACAAACAAGAAAAGCAGAGAGAGCCAGCGCCACCAGCCCGCAGCCTGGACTCTGCCCAGTGCGACTTGGCATTGGAAAAAACCCAGGCCAGGCTGGGAATCCCAGCTCGGAGAGGCTGAACTTCACAATTATTGAGGATAACAAAGACAAATGAAAAAGCACTCATTGAGTAACTGATATCAATTATGAAACTCAGCTTTGGAGTCTGGAATAAATGATAGGGGAATTGGCCTGAGAGAGAACGAAACAGACATGTTATTATTTACGCCAGATTAAGAAAAGTATCCAATTTGCTGGCCCTCTCCTGCCCCGTGGGAATCAGCATCAATTTTATTATTGTTCCTCCGATTTTAATATTCTCTAAATGAATTACTATTGAGCGAGGTAGTTAGTCAATAGTTTAATGCAATTAATTATCTTTAAATCGTTTTGTTATCTCTTTTTTTTTTGAGAAAGAGTCTTAGATCTAACTCCACTAAGCATTTATCTACTGGAAACTGGAGTTGTTAGGGGTTTTGTTGTTGTTGTTTTTTGTTTGGATTGGGGATTGGGGGGGCAGGGAAAAGAGAATTGGGGTGTTGAAGGGCAGTTGTGGCTCCTCCAATCTAAATACACTCAGTGTGTGGACCCTGCGTGGAGACCCGCAATCCACTCCATCTTGGGTTGAGGCTGGGGGTACAGTTCAGGTGTCAGAAGTGGGGTTCAGTGTTTGGGTGCTTCCTACCAAAGTGGGGTGCAGCCCAAATTTCCCAAAGCAGACTCGGCCTCTTTTGTTTCTAGTTTAAGAAGATGGGGGGGGGTAGAAATTACTAACAGGTCACTCCAGTTCCCACTTCTTTCCAGACTCCCTAGGGGAGTGGTCTGGCCTTGTCTTAGGTGCAGCTGTCAGAAACTAGCTCTTTCTGGTTATACACGGGCTTCTCTGCCAACACAGGTTAAGGGAGAGGGGCCCTGGGAGGAGGACTTGTAAGAAAAAGAACTGTGATGGAAATGATGGAGATGTAACTCTAAAGTCTGTTTCTTTCTTGTATATGGGGATGGGAAAGCCTCATGGCTGTCCACACACCCTCAAGACTTACAAGAGTAAGTACAGATGGGTTCTGCAGAGCCACTGTGGGGCAGACAGCGGAGGGAGGTCGGAGGTCCGCTTACCTCACATGGCTCGGTCGAGTCTCAGGCCAGGAGGGTCTGCAGCTGTAGTGTGGGGTGGGGGAGGAGGAGGAGGGAGCAGTCAGAAAGTGCTTTCGCGTGGGGGGTTGGGGACTCCAGAAGCTGAGATCTGAGGATCACAATTCCTCAAAGCCGCCTGGGCAGGAAAGTCCATGAGACTCTCATCTTGCATTAACCAGCAAAAAGCTGGACATGGAGCTGTGACTCAACTGGTTAAGTGCCAACTTTGAGCCAAAAAAAAAAAAAACAAAACCTAAGAGGCAAAGAGTCCAGGCCCAGAATTCAAGATTCAACACCCACAAAGAAAGAGAGAGAGAGAGAGAGAGGAAGGAAGGAAGGAAGGAAGGGAGAGAAAGGAAGAAAGAAAAAGAAGGAAGGAAAAAGAGAAAAGGAAAAGAGAAAGGGAAGGAAAGAGGAAAAGTAAGGAAAAGAAAGGGAAGGGAAGGGGAAAGGGGGAAAGGAAAGGGCTGCTGGCTCCCAGTGGCCGGCTGAACCACACTGATCAGAAGCAAAGGGGAGCAGAGCAAACTAAGGGGATGTGAAGGTACCGCCTCGGCCTGCTGCCTGCTTCTGTCCCTGATCATGGAGCAAGGGAAGTTTCCTGTGAGGCCTGGTGTGGTGGAACTCCTTCTTTCTAAGGAAGAGAGGTGAAGGGATAAGATGGCAGGGAGATAGCCTTGTTGGGGTGCCAGGTGAGGTGGCAGGGTGCTGTGGGGGAGGGGTGGGAGTGGACCCCTCTGGGTTGCAGTGATGCTGAGGATGCAGGCCTGTCTGACCCCACATAAGAAGTGTGGACTCCCCGCACCGGTGCCCACAGGACTGCAGGTGAGCAAAGGGTCACAGTGAGTGACCCACTGGCCAAGGGGCCTCTCCAGGATGCCAGCACAAGCCCTGAGAATTCTCCTCTTCCTCCCCCCCACACCCCCAACGCCCTCTCATCAGCCCTCAAAGAGAAAAACCGCCGGACCCTCTTCTCACCATTCAATGAAAATTGAATTGGCCCGAAATAGCAGCTAGTACGGGACCTGGTATTTCATAGTGTTTTAAAAGTAATATTCCGTTTGTCGGAGCCGTGAAATAGGGCACCAGAAACGCTACAAGAAATAAAAAGAGTAATTTCTCAGTGGAGAAGTTGTCTGTTTCCAATTCCGGGCTAGGGATCGCTGGAAGCCGGGTGGGGGGCTGCGGTCTGCTGGAGACACCCCCTCCCCGCCGTCCTCAGGGCCTCCCTCCGGGCAGCGGTGGGCCCCGGGACCCCCCACCCCCGCCCTGCCCCGCCCCGCCCCGCCCCGCACACCCTGCACATCTGGGAAGGGTATCAGGGCTCCGCGGGCCGGAAGTTCTCACACTACACGACTCATTAAACACGGGGCTAGGATTCCGCGGGCAACGGGGTGAGGGTGGGAGTTTGGTTGGGGGGGTGGGATTGGAGGTAGCTGCTCTTCCCACCCCCCACCCCTGCCCCATCCCGTTCATCTCCGGTGGCAGTAGCTGGCCCGGAAAGAAAGATGGGGGGTGGCTGTCTGGGGAGGGCGGGGAGAAGAGACCTCTCCCCCAGGGCCTGGGAATTCTCTGGGTGTCCAAGTCAGCAGGCAGGCAGACCCCAGAACCCACCCTGTCCCCCTCTGGCTGGGGTTTAGGGGGTGGCCTAGTGTGACTTTGATTCCGGAAAAGACTTGTGTCGGGCTGGGGAAGGTGGGTGTCTCACCCCCCCAACACACACACTGGGCATAGAAGAGGAAAAGTGAGAACAACTCAGGCCAGCACTGAGCCAACGGCAGGATTTTGCCTGGGCTCAACCAAATGGAGAGGGAAGGCCCCCAAAGCCTCCCGGAGGGGGCTGCTCGCCCGGCTCAGCCAGGCCTTGAGGGTCCCTCCAAAGGCTTCCCAGCCTGAGCAGCCCCCCCTCCCCAGCCCTTCCTCCTCCTCACACCCCCTCATTTGATGGTTAGTGATACCGCCTTAATGTCTGAAGTGGATAATACTTGGGGGGGGGTTAAAATTACAATTGTTTCCACTTAAATTTACTTCCTGGCCGGAACCTTTCTCCATTCTCCATCCGTCTATGGGGTTTCAATATCTTAAATGTTTAAAAAGGTTTTATTCTGTACTTACACTGAGTGAAATTAAAAAGAAACAGTAAAAATGTTTGAAAATGAAGTGCATTATGTTTAATAAATTTAAAATGAACAAAGACTGCTATATCGCAAGCAATATCATTCTCTGCCCAGGGGCATTTAATAAAGACTAGAGGTTTGGGGGGAAAGGGAAAAAAAACAATATTTTCTATTAAAATTCTGCGCTGTGTTTCAATATTAAAAGACTATGTGATGAATTTCCAGTGCAACCCAGACGGGGTCAGAGATTAATTTCATTTCTTTGTGGTCAACATTCTGTCGATAATTAATCAAAAGCAGAGTTTCTTAATGAAACACTTTTCATAAGGTGATAATTAGCAGGAGAGAAGCGGCCCGCAGACAGTTCTCGCGAGCTGCCTAATAACCAGCAAGGAGCGGGACTGGATCCCGGGCCGGGGGCGGGGGCCGTGGGGACACAGGGTCCCCAGGGAAGGGCTCCGTAGCGGCGCACCGCAACCCTCCCCCCCCACACACACACCTCCATCACCCCTTTCCTTAAGCAATGAAGTCCCAAGCTCTAGCCGCGATGCAAACCGGTTCTGGGACGATTCTCTTAGGCTACACAAGAGAGATTTAGGAGAAAGCAGAAAACGCAAGGGGTCGTGTCGGACCCACCCCGCCACTTCTCGGCCCTACTGGGGCGCGCTGTGTGGTCTTAGACCAAGCAATTCGCCTCTCTGGGCTTCTTACTCCAGTCCTGCCCGCTGGAGGTGGCTCCAAGTCGGAGCCACCTTGGCCTGGGGCGCCAAGACTCAGCCTTTGTTTTAAATGGTCACCCTTCAGAAGAACTCTGGAAGGCCCGATGGGCACCGATGGCCACCTCCCCCTCCCCCTACCCCCGCACATCTCCCGGAGTCTAGCTCCAGCTGACCGCTGGGTTCCTCTGCGCGCAGCTGCCAGCGCCTCTCCCGGCCCCGCAGCCCGCGGCGGGGACGCCTGGAAGGGCGCGCGCGGAGGGAGGGGGAGCGGCGCGGGAGGAAAGGGAGAAGGGAGGGAGGGGGTGGAGGCGTCCGCAGACAGAGGGGGATTATTAGTGCATTATAAAATTACTAAAAATAAATGGAAAACAATTAAGGGG